TTTCTAGCGAGAACCAAGCAACCCTTGCCTTTCTGCCACTCTGCATGCAGTTCTGGCTAACGCAATTAAGAAGTAACAGCGGAGCGCTGAAAAAAGAGCTCGGAATACTCGAAATGTGCTCATAAAGAACGCTGGGCGGGGAGTCAGAATTTGCATTCAGTTGTGAAACATTCTATAAAAAATAATAAATTTAATGTTCGACAATAAAAGCGAGCGAAAAGTACAAAAAGCCAAACAGCATTCGCATATTTTTTATGGCTTTTGCGTGAATATTCCTTGGCGTGGAGGGGGAGCGTGGGTTGGGCGGGGCAGGACCTTTCTCCGCATCAGCAATTGTGCAGCAATTACAGTAAACAACAATCGTCAAGTCGGGCCTGGACGTGCCACACGAGGAGACAATGTTGGGCTCCAACGAACTTTATGCTGAAAAGCAGACATAAAGTGGAGCCAGATCCCGCCTACAGCCAGATCTACAAAGTTCGCAAAGGACCAGATCCTTCAGTGGCTTAAACTCAAAGTCAGTGCAACAATCAGTACAAATGCACCTAATCGAACCCTTCTGAAAAGGCTTTAAGGTATCTGTCATAATTATAAGCGCCTACTTCCCTTTTCCATCCTCCGGGTGACAGATGGTGAGCTGCAGATACTCGCTGCTTCTCCAACTAATCCCGAAATGAAAGGCAGCTGAGCACGTAGCCGGTTAGAGCTCGCAGCAGGTACTCCGCTGAGCGGCGGGTCAGGTCGGGTCACCTAACAAATTTCCAGCCCTAATCTAGCCGTCTCCCTCGCTCGCTTGCTCATTTGCGGTTGTCCTACGCGCTGCGGCATCATTATCGCTTATATCCCTAGCGTCCCCCGCCCTACCCTCTCGAAAGTGTGGGCTTAAAGGCCTTTGTGTCCTTCTCCGCTCGTTTTCTTTGTGTGTTTCGCAAAAAGATCTGAGAGACAAGGGTGAGCCGGGCCTCCTGCTGTTCGCTGTAATTTTTCCAGCATTCCGCAGCTTTCCATTCCCATTCCCAGTCCCAGTCCCAGACCCTTTCTGCTTCAGACATTTCGAATTTCCGTCGCTGCCAATTTTTTCCGTCTACCTTTTGCCCCTCTCCTGCTAGTCTTCTACAAATCGCTTTGATTTACATAATGCTGGGCACATTTCGACGCATAGTTCTCTTGTCCTGGCCCGGCTCTGGGGTCTCGGCTCTGGTGTTTGCATATTTTTTGACAGCTGTCAGGAAGTAATAAGTTGGAGTTTCGCTCTGGGCTGGCGCCTAGACGACTTCCCTGACATTGACAGTTTCGATGGGCTGGATGGAAAGGGGTGCGTGTGTGGGTCCTGGGAGACATCTTAGAAAGGCTGCCAGACTTCCACCAGAATCCCCGGCTCACCAGCGCGAGTAACCACTGCACCTTGTTCGACTGGTGCACTCGGGCTTCAAGGATGACAGATGGGATTTGTTGGATCATTAATGGCCTAGCGGCCGATGTCCTTTCTCAGGACGATTTGAAGTATTAGCCGATGAGCCGCTTAACTGCCAAAAGGGATTAGCGCGAAGAGGCCTGGGAATGGGGTTTCTGGGCCCGGCAGTGCCAACAGGGTGATGTTGTGACGAGTCCTATGCAAATAGGTAAGGGTGGAATTTTAACTCATTATCCTTTTTGGTTTTCAAATGGATTTACTATTCGCGAGTTAATAATTTAGAAAAGCAAATACTTAGATTCTCAGTGACTCAGTCGACCCGTCTATGACGCACAGGAAGCCCCCACTTTTCACTCTTATCCGCCCATTAAAAATATTGCCTCCCGCCAAAGCCAAAATCCATACCGCGGCCAAAAATAGCCGCCCGCGATCTCCGCGGAGAACAAGTGGAAACAGGCCGCAAGCACAAAATTATGGAAACATGCCCCTGCCAAGATCCAGGCGGGGCGATCGAACAGTTTGGAGAAGCGGCCGCACCCGCGTCATTACAGGCCAGGCCAGCACAAACAATCCGCGGTGGCCACTCACTGCCCGGTGGGATCCAAGTGCTAAGCTTTACACAATAAGTGCAGGGAATGAGACTTCGTTTGCAAATTGTGGCCAAGACAAAAATAAACAAGTGGCCTCATTAGGGCGGGCCATAAACTAATCGGGCGCGGCATAAACAAATAATTTTCCGCGGGCGCTGCCAAGGCGCTGCTGGAAAACTTGTGTGAGAAAATCGAAATGGCTGCGAACTCTGATTTCCGACACCGATCCAATCTTGTTCCAATACCAATCTGACTCGGATTCCGATTTCGATTCCGATTCCGAGGTGACCTTGTGGGCTTCCATTTCGAAATTAGTTGCGTGTTTCTTGTGCTTTTTTCGCTTTCGGCTTTCGGCTTTCGGCGTTCGGCGTCAGAAATGCGATTGTTATTCGCATTCGAGGCCATCTGGGGTTTGTTTGGGACCTGGCTGAGGTTTCTGTTTAATAATGCAGAGTGGCTGTCAGGCCGGGAGAGCCTTTCACCTAATTTGGCTAATTGGAAGCCGACAAATCAAACATTGAGATATTTCGCTCAAAATCGCCCCCGAAATCTGGAATCCGCCACTGTCGGACATGTTTCAACACGTCAACGCGGCTCAAGTCGGAAAAGCAAGCCATCCTCCAGCTTCTTCGAACAGAAGCAATTTTTGCTCTTTCCCATCTTGGCTTTTTGGCAATTTTATGACAGGGGTGGGGGGCGGACTGATGCCTGCTGAAGTGTCGGATATTTACGAGCTTCGCGTTGCTCCCTCACCACCTCACTCCCCTCGCCCTGACCCGCTTTATTTAATTTTATTCCTGCGCCAAAGCACAAAAAGAAGCGCTTCCAAGTCCCGGGTCTCAGGAATTTATTGTGTTTCAGTTACGAAATTTATTTGTTGCTGTAAATTTCCAATTTTTTCGCCTTTTCCCAGGCACCTTACACGTACATGTACCTGTCCGCCCGCCCCTCTCTGTCAGCCTCTTCCCAGTTCGATTTCCATTTGATTTTTTATTTCGCTCCAAAGCTCCAATTGTTTGGCAATTGTTTTTATAACACCACAAAGCAGTTGAAAAAAGAAGAGCTGGGCGCGGGCGCGGGGGTGGGCGTGGGCGTGGGGGAGGAGGACGCGTGGAGGAGGAAGAACGGTAAAAGGAGGCACATAGATGAAATGCCAGAAATAAAGTTATGTAAATTTCGTTTTGTGTGCGGCTCCGAGTGCGTCTGTGTGCGTGCGAGCCCAATGCCAAGAAGCAAGCTCGGAAATAATAAAAGCGAAGCATGTCGAAGCGTGTACTGGCGGTCATTGGGTTTGAGCTGAGGCAGGGCGCTTCGAGGAAGCCGAATGGGCCGAATAACTAAGTCAATAGACCGCGGTTCAAGTGCCAATAGGTTTTACGGTGCACTGGACCAAGGCAGAGTTGCGCTTCGAAAATAAAGACATCCGAATAGGGTTCTTTTTACAACTTTTTAAAAAACCTTAACGGGATATTTTTAAATTGTTAAATTTCTTTTACATTTTGCCCAATTATAATATTATTGTATTTATGCAAGCAGTATTAAATCTCCATCGAAATCACTAAATTTTCTGAATATAAGGCATAATAAAAAGGCATTTCAAAAAAGTGTCTCTAGGCATGTTTTTCACTTACTCCCGTCTTTGAAAGTATTTAAACTATACCACTACTTTTTAAACTACAAATTTCCAGAATAGAAATGGTTAAATCTTTTAATATTAACCAGCCTGAACCATCACTGTAATTGCTTGATTATACGCCTGGAGAGATAGTTTAAGAAAATAAATGTTCTTTCTTACCAAAACATACTTCTACCAAAAGAAAAAAAAGGTAACTAAAAAAAAATTTTAAAAAAATATTCTACCATAAAGAATTTATCAAATTATTGAATCAAAACCTTAAAGATTTGTATCTTTGTTCTAACAAACAGCTATAATAAACACATAATAAATTACAAAAAATCTCAAATATTGAATTTTATATACATACATATATTTTTCTCCTTCATTAAATATGTTACAATTATTTTTCAAAACAAAAACTCATTTTCTACCAAAATATTATTTTACAGAACCGAAACAAAAATTTCATTCATACATTAATATTTTGAAAGAAATGGTTTTTGTTGTTCTTAAATACAAAAAATACTATACTAAACACCTAATTATCAGATAAATTCTAGATATTTAATTTAATTTATATTTTTCCACCTTTTTAAATCTTTTAGGAATAATCTTTTCAAAGAATGTCTTAAACTATGTTTTTTCCAAATACATATATCGAACCGAAAAAAATGTCACCAAATAGAAGAGCATCTAAAACTCATCCAAATTTGGAAAGAAAAAACACCAAAAACATAAAAAAAAAACATTTTTCATTAAACAAAATTCTATTAGAAACCTTTAATAAGTTACATAAAATCTTCCATATTGAATTCTTTGAATCTTTAGTCTTACAAACGAATTTCTCTACTCCTATTCTAGCCGCACATTTAGGTAGTTTTTCCAGCGGTTCCAAAACGGGAATTTGACTCTTCGGTTGTGCAGAGTTTTCCCGAGTGTAACGCAGGCAATTGTAACCAAACTCCTTTTGGAAACAGGTTTTTTTTCTATACATGCCGCAGGCACTTCGGTGGGGAGGGGTACGTCTGGGATTCTCCTAATTTCTGACTGACTGCCAGTGGGTATCCTTTTCAGCCGCGCTTTGTGTGCCTGCTATTGTTGCGCCCGCTTTATTAATCAGGAAAAATCGCGGAAAACGCGCTCAGGCGGAAAAAGGAAAATTATGAAATGTGAAACAGAGGCGAGGCTTGATTTCCGAGTGGACCCAGGACCCATTCCCAGCGGTGGGATATCGCATTAATTTTTGTAATTATGCAAAATGTTTGACAACGGCCGCTTTTTTTCTAACATTTCCTAACTTGCATTCCGACTACAGTATCATCTGACATCCATCCGCGCTTGTGCGCTCCTGTTCACCATCGCACACACACACACTCACCTTGTCTTCCGTGGGTCCGCTGCGCCGTGTTGTTGGCCGTGTCCGGCGGACGGTGCGGCAAGTGCTGGTACTCGTAGTCGTAGTGCGAGGACTGAGCAGCGGCGGCTGCCTGGGCGGCCTGTAGGTTCTGTTGGTTTTGGTGCTGCAGCGTTTGGCTGCTGTGGACGCTGTTGCTGGCGGAAGCGGCGGAGGGACGCCCGCTCATGGGCAGGGTGCCCGGGCCGACGCCGCCGTGCCCATGTCCGTGGGCCTGGACGTGGCCGTGGCCGTGGCCGCCGCCTGCGTCGCGGCAGTCGAGTGTGGACTCATACTCGTAGGTATTCATGGCAGTCGCCTCCAGGGGACATTCGTCGTCGTCGGTGTCTGTGCCACCGTCGTAGATGTTGTCCGTGTGGCGGTATGCGTGGTGGGAGTGCTGCTTTGAGAACTTAATCTTGGCGGCTTTTGCGGGCCAGACAGCCGGACAGCGACAGGCGGAAACAGAAGAGGCGACAGAGGACTCCGCGTGGGAGTAGGAAGAAGAGTGGGGCGCACCGGATGCGGTCTCGTCTGCTGCCCTGTTCTCGGCAATTCTGCAATTCGTTTCGATTCTCAACACTTTCTTTCACTGCACTTTCACACAACCCCGAGCTGTCGCCTCAGCGTGCCACTTGCATTCTGTGGTGGCTAATCTGCGAGTACAATCACAATCACTATTTCACGGAGCCGCTGGTCCAGACCAGGACTTGGCTCCAAGTAGTTGCACACTCTGGGCTCCAGAACTCCCTGCCGGGACACTCGCGGTGCAGAGACGCGGCGCGGAGGCGAAGACGTTTGCGATGGCGGAGGCGGGTTCACAGCCAATTCTGTTTGTTCGAGTCGAGGCTTGTTTTGTTTCGCGGCGGCTGGTGGCGTTCGTCTGGCAGCGCTCTAAATCGACGATCATAAATGTTGTAATATTGCAAGTCGGTGTGTTCCCGCGTACGTTCACTATTAGTCGCTGCTCTGGTAAATAGTGCGAATTCGCGTTCGCGCTGCTTCCCTGTCGTTTTTAAAACAAATCAAAAACGAAACGAACCGCGGAACGCGTCCTCTCCGAACGAGTAGTATAGAGTATCTGAGCGCGTTTGAACACAAATGTCAGATACTTTCTCAATTTACAGATACAGATACATTTTCAGATACAGAGAGTATCTCTCGAAAATCCGCTCACTGGGCTCTCTCATAGAGTATCTGAGCGCGTTTGAAACACATATTTCAGATACTTTCTCAATTTAGAGATACAGAGAGTATCTCAATCCGCTCACATGTTCGTTCGTTAAATCCCGAATCTTTCCGACTCTCTTGATTATTCTCACTAAGGTACAGTGGAGTACCAAAAAAACATATAAAAGTTAACCGCAAAGAATTTATATATGAATCATAATACTCACTATTTTTATTTATTAAGGTAGAAATGCATATATGTATATATTTTTTAAGTTTTTATTAACAAGCATATCAGTACAAACTATTTTTAAAATTAGTACTTGTTAAATTTAATTCAACCAAAAAGTATTGACTTTCGTTACAAAGTTTTCCCACTGTCCTCTGCCTACATTTTCCCCTGCGTCCGTAGCTGCTCTCTGTAACCTTCAAAACGAGAGAATTCAGCCGAAACATGAGTTTGCGCAGTTTCACCCACGCAACATGCTCTCTGTCGCTCTCAACTGAACGAAGCCCGATTGCTGCGAAGGGGTAGTGCAACCGTATTACGCGCTGCATGCCACTTTCGTTAAGATTTATCTGAAGAGCATCAACAGCGACAACTGCCTCTGGCAGTTGGCAACTGTTAAATAACATAACTACTTCTGCGTTAACAGAATCTTTGAAATAGAAGATGGGCGCTGGGGAATACCAGAGTTGTACAAATCGAACGTACTAAAAGATAAAATTCCCAATGAAGAAAATAATTAGGATTTTTCTATTTCAGACGTGACTTTTGGAACTGAAAACTGATATTTTTAACAGTACTGAATTTTAATTTGGAATTATGTATATTGTTTTATGTTTATCATTATTATTAAATTATATACATATGTATTAGAAAAAACTATAAAACATTTAAAAAAAAATTTCAAACTTCAAAATGTTGTTTTAAAAAAGAATATAACAATAATTAAAAAATATCTTAATTAGATTATACTTATACATATAAACATAGGTGGTATGTTTTAGAAGAGATATTAATCATAAACTTTAATGAATTTTTGGAAAACTCGTGTTTTTATAAAAAGGAAGACAAAAACACAGGGAACACTAGGCAAAAATAATTAAAAAAAAGTTTTGAAAAATTCTTTTTTCAACTTTTAATTCTTTTACGCGAATATATTACAATTATTTAAGTTCCTGTCATAGCTGAATATGGTAGGTTGTCTTTTATATTTTAAGACGTTCGGTCAATTATGTTATTTTTTACATATTTTGATACCCAGATAAAAAAATTGGTTTAGAGCAAAAGGCGTTGGAAGATCGAGATATCCTTCTCAGCTATAACTTTATAGATTAATCTTCTTTAGGTTATACATAGTTAAGGAACTTTGTAAAGGCTTCAGTTAGTGAAATTTCCTCTGACCCACACATTCTGGGCATATTTACTATTTTTGAATAACATTTTTATTAATTTTTTTAAAACTATTATTTTTAAGCTAACTGTTTTTATTTTTTTTAATTAATTTAATCGTTAAAAACATAGTTATTATCTTAAAGTCAGATCATTAAAAATTTTTAGATTGAAATAAAATAACTCTTACTATCAATAATCCTGAGGTAATCCCAATACGTGGAATCTGGACGGACCCTAAAAACGTAATTGATCGACAAAACTTGAAGCCTATCAGCACTCGCTTGGCTTATATTCTCTTTCATTTACTAATTACAACGTCAGATTCTAGGTCCTAATTTTCGGAGCCAGCCAAAAAATTTGTTTCGACTTCATTAGCGCTGGAAAAGTTAGCCAGCGCTGCCGAGAGGAGACGTGAAAGTTTCAAAACGCTGACAACGAAGTTGTCATTCAGCACCCAGAACAAGAAGCAGGCCCAGAACCAAGCCACACCAGACCAGACCTGGCCCAAAAAGTGTCCGAAACAAACAGTGGACCGGCGAGGGATCGGGCGGAGGGGCGGAAAATTGCGTTATAAGCAAAGTAAAGGACATTTCGCTAATGGCTTAACTTTTGAGCGCAGGTCGCACCGCTCCTCCTCCTCCTCCTCTTGGACGTCCTCGCCAAGCCACCAATTCTCCGCCATGTAACGGAAGTTGTTGCTGAAGGTTTTTTGACAGCTCTCCCAAGCCGAGAGTCCTCAGAAGAGCAGACTCGGTAGAAATTGTTATTTCTTTCGCGGCCCTGGCAATGTGGCAACGCCGCGTGACGCAAATTATTGAAGTCTGAAAGTATTTGCATAGGACATGCCTTGGTTCGACTCTTTCCCTCCCTGGTGGCATCTTCTTTTTATTATTTTTATTTTTCTCCTTCTTGCCATTGCTTGCTGTCGATGAAAATTCAATTTCCTGTTGTACGCAAAAATGTTTTGGCTTCATTTCCACAAGGAGCGAGCCAGCAGTCTAAGCCCTGCATTTGACACATTGCATTTAGTCCGGGCCATGATCGAGCTTGAAAGGAGGAATCAAAATTGGCTTTTGCCGAATGCTAGGGTTTTGAATTTAAACTGATAGATTATACATTTGTACTCCTTTGGTTAATCTGTTCTTTCTAGCCTAAGAAAGGTCAATTCACTAATTATCAAACTACTTTTGACCAAGGCTCAGTGTTTGGGATTGTATGGAGCCGCGGCCAAAAAAACTTCTAAACGTCCTATCTCTACAAAGCTTTAACTAAAAATCTATAAAAATTATATAATAAATAAGTAAAAAATTCGACAAATTGGACGTTTACCTTTAAACTTCAGTTCATATAACTGAATGATCGCAAATCTCAACACTTTTCGGTTTTTAAAGTTTAAAGATTAGGACTTTCATTTAGGATTCATAAAGAATCCATTTATGAAATACCTATTTGAACATATTTTTAATAAATTTATATCAAATTGCATACTGCTGTTTTACTGAACGACAGAGAGGTTCCTACTTAAGTTTTTTTGACTTAAGGACACCATTGTTGGCTTGTATTACTAACGTAAAACTGAACACATATTCAGGTTTTTTTTTATTCCTGGTTTCCCAGGTTTTTGGATTTTGGTTTATGGGTGCAACCACACATGGTTATAGAAATTTCTTGGCTGTACGTTAACATAAAATTAACCTTATTATTAAACTTTAACAAAATAAACTGCTAATCCCCGACATTAAATGATGTGTTTTTCTTCGTAAAATTAAGTTTTTTAAATGTAAAATGTAATGTTTTTTAAAAAGATATCGAAATTGCTACATGATAGGATCGATTTTAGAGGAACACTGGAAGCTAAAAATTTTTTAAATTACTTTTTCAGACTTCCTACAACACTTTCGGTCATTTGGTGTATCCTGTTTGAGGATAAGCAGCTGCACATTGTCTTGCACTCGAAGCTTCAATCAGGAAATTTGAACTCCACTTAAAAGCAGGAGCTCCGAATAAAAAATACCATTCAGGGGAAAGGGGAGCCGCTGCTACAACAAGTTGCGAGTGGCCAGAGTGGCGCTGCGAGGATGTTGTTCTTGCTGCACGACTCTTGACCTGAATATCATCAACTTTGAACCCTCGAACGGCATTTCCTGCCTCAATTTACACAGTTCTCAATGGGAGAGGACGGCCAAGTGCTGCTCCATGTTATATGTAGGACCTCAATATACTCACCTATATATTTTTACGGTGCATGCACGGCGGGTTAAATGCAGCATCGATCCGGAGTGCACGCAAAAATGCTCCACTCATCGCAGCTCAGGGCTGGCATGAAAATCGAACAGGACTCGCGGACAACGGACAGCAGACAGCGAACTGCGGACAAAGGACATTGGAAAGCGACAATGACTGACGGCACTGGCCTGACAGCGTCCTGTCCAACCAAAGTGTAAGTGGTGGGGGTGGCCGGTAAATAAAATTACTCAAGATATTGAATTACGCGTTTTAAATTAAAAATATTTTTTCGCGATTGCATTAAACGAAAGGCGAACTAATTAAAGGAGATTTTTCGTCCTCTGTCCTTCGCTCCTTCTCTTCCTCCGTGAATTATCCGTCTCTATCTCTCCTTCTGCCCATGTTTCCTTTTTGAATTGGCAATGCAATTTGCAGTCTGGAGTTCAAGTTGCGTTCGAGGGTTCAGAGTGGAGTTCCTTTCACAGAACTGCACCCCGGGTAAACAGTTTCGATATTATGGGTATTATGAAGGTGTAGTAGGTATTGGTTATTAAATCGGAATTTTGTAATTTCTTTGCCAGGCTTTCCACTTTGCTCCCTTGAGAAACCTACCATAACGACCTCGAACTGAAAGAGTTACGAGCCATAACCACTCAGCCCTTGGTGCCATAACTCTTCCTTTGTCCCTCCAACTCCTTTGGCGCATCTTCCGGAGTATGCGGGCGGAAGGGCTGTGGCAGGAGCCACAGAGTCATCCACAAGGCAAAACAAACAAAGCATCAATCAATAAAGATTTCCGCACCTAATAAGCCGCAAGCGGGCTATCTGCCTGGGCCGGCCGGGGAGGGGGAAGCATCATTGACGCCGCTCACCAATTAGAGGCCAATGGTTCCCATCTCCCCCCGCCCGGAAGGTGTTAATCGAATTACGACCTCGGTATCGGCATCGGCATTGCCGTCGACTTCAACTTTGGGTCCAACTTGCGTAGCTGCACCCTCTGTGGTGCGTGTGGAGGGGCAGGAGCCAGGGTGGGAGCTGCCTCAGCTGTCCAAGTTCATGCGCAATGTCGTTGCCGACATTTCCATATTTTCAAATTTGAATTTTCTATTCCGACCAAGTTGTCGACGTCCTCATCGTTGTCGTCGGAATTGGATGTTGGTTGGCCCAGGACCAGGGCCCTCTGAAGAGCAGACATCGTTCATCAAGAAATACTTTGGGCCTTCCCCGCTCCACTATCCACCTCCACCGCCTTCCACCCGCCGACTCGTAAAGAAAATTACACACATGTGTGGC